GCAACATACGTATTGCGGTATTTAAAAAATTAATATCATAACAAAAATAAACACCGGTATTCGGTATGAACCACTATACCACCCAGCACTATTATAAATGCATTCACATTACTTTTGATTAATTTAATGAATCCCCATTGAATAAAAATACTAATTTCTTTAAAAAATAAAATAAAAAAAATCTCACTGACCAATAACTTTTAAATGTATTTTTAATTATTTTTTTTATTGTAAATTGTACCTTTAGTATAGCATTTATACAATTTTTATACAGTATTCATATTTATAAAAAAGGTTTCATCAGGCTACTTCTGTTGCCAGATTTCCCACAGCAGATAAAATCCTATTCAATAGAGCTTAGGCGGCGTTTGCCTGCTTTCTTTCTCATGATAATTTGTTTACGTGTATAGTGCCAAGACTAGACGTGTCTTTGGACTGAAGCCTCTCATTCACATATTTAGCAAAACATCTCATGTGTAACTTGTTTTATGTAGGTCTTTTGTTTTCTGTCACAGAAACTACTCCAGTGATATTGTGACTCTGCTGAACCTTGTTCTCTTCAAAGCGTCCGACACAAACAGGGAGATCTACGAGATCGCTATGCAATTAATGCAGGTCTGAGAGAGAACATTCTCTGCCAAAGAAGTGTTGCAATAATAGAAAGTGTACTGGATTAAATAGCGTGTTTGTGTGCTAATCTGTTTATGTGTGTGTGTTTTCTGGATGAATAGATTCTGGAGGCCAAGCTGTCTGTGTATTCTAAGAGGATTGTGGAACAGAAAAGTGGTGCTATACTGTATGGAACACATGGGCCTCTTCCGCCCCTCTACAGTCTCTCTGTAACCCAGCTTTCAAAGCAACTTGCCAGAATGTACCCTGAACTCACCCTGCCCCTTTTCTCAGGTATAAAATGGAAGGACAGAGATGAACACAGTGTGTATGTGTGTTAATGCCACTGCTTCTCTTATAGGTGAAAACTCCTAAAACTTTTAACTGCAAAATGAGAGGGTTTTGTCTCTGGTTTTAATACAACTTAGGTTCCGTTGACCGCATCTGTGGCACAATGTTATTTTAATATTATTTATATGCTACTATAGTATTTAGTAATGTTTTATTAGCTTATAGCTTTATATTTTTAGTTTTCATTTTCTAGTTTATGTTCAGTAGCTTTGTTCTTTTGTCATTTTTATTAGTTTATATATATATTTCAGGTCGTCTTTATTTTAGTTTTTTCAGTTTTAGCAATTTTAGTACTTCAGCTTAAACATTTTATTTCAGTTAGGTGTTAAGGCAAACTTTGTAATTTTTAATGTTTTTAATGTTTTTCATTTAATATTTATATATTATTTCATATTTATTGTAATTAAAAATATTTTTGTAGTTTTCGTTTTAGTTCATAACAATGCTGCTGTGGCATGCTGTTGATTATCATGGAAAATAATTTTGAATAATTACTGCATTAAAATATACAGTTGTCACACTATTGATAAAGTATAACCATAACTCTTAAACATTATACTGGAGGAGAATGAAGGAGATATGTCTCTGTAAACCAATCTTTCAAGTCATACTGCAACTGTGTTAATCTGGTAGCCAGTTGCTGGTAGCCACTGACTTTCATTTTTTCCATACTATGAAAGTCAACTATAACTGTTAGGTTACCGACATCCTTCAAAATATCTTCTTTTGTGTTTAACAGAAGAAAGAAACTCATACAGGTTTGAAAAAATAACAAAATTTAGATTTTTGGGTGAACTATCCCTTTAAATTTAATTGAACCACCAGCAAATTTAACAAAACATGCAGAAACTTCATTTATACTTATGATTGTATATTTATGTAGATATATCTTTTTGTATCTATCATCTCTAGAGGTGAGTCAGAGGTTTCCCACCACGCATCCAAACGGGCGTCAGGTCATGCTGACCTACCTGCTCCCTTGGCTCAGTAACATCGAGCTGGTTGATGGAGGCCTGCTGCCCACTGTCTCGAGTCCGAGCAGCTCTGGAGACAACAGGAAGGGATACACTCACAACACCTCAGCACCTCACCTGCTCCGAGGCACAGGCTGGGGGTCACTGCAGGCCTCCTCTCTGGTCCTAAACAACCTCATGTTCATGACTGCTAAGGTATGACTGTGAATCGCTGTTACTTTAGTGTTTCCTAGACTCTAAAGCTATGGATATCAATACAGCATATTGAGTTGTGTGTCTCTGTGTGTGTTAGTACGGGGACGATGTCCCAGGTGCAGAAATGGAAAACGCTTGGAATGCTCTGGTCAGTAATGAACGGTGGACTAATAACCTGCGGACCACCATGCAGTTTCTCATCAGCTTATGTGGAGTCAGCAGCGACACCTCTCTTCTGCCTCATGTAAGTTGTATATTTATTTTTTTCATTATGTTTTGGTTTGGTGTCAGATTTGATCAGATTTTATTGATAAAGCAGGTCATTTGGTTAAAGAATGAAAGCTAAGTTGTCAAGTTATGTTTGTCCTCTATTTATGCTCAGATTAAGAAGGTGGTGATCTACCTGTGTCGCAACAACACCATTCAAACCATGGAGGAGCTGCTTTATGAACTTCAACAGACAGATCCTGTGAACCCCGTAGTGGTGCACTGTGACAATCCTCCGTTCTACCGCTTTTCAGCCACAAGCAAAATTACCACCACCACCACTTCAGGTATGTATACTAGAGAGTTTGTGTGAATCTGTCAAGGCAAAATGTCATAAATACATAAAGACATCAAAATGTCTGAGTTAGCACTCATGTGTTGCATGTATATCACATGCCACATGTTATATTAATAAATACTGCATGCCTCTAAAGGTACAACTTCCAGCAGCAAAACCATGGTGTGTGGCCAGGGAAACATCCCTGACACAGATGACTCGCCAATCACAAAGGAGTGTGATGACAGGTATGTGCCACAAACCACTCTATTTACATATGTGCCCTAACACTCTTTCTATTAATGTCATTTTTTTCCTTGGTCACGTTTAATCACAGTTTGAGGTTACACCCACCTTAAGCATTACAAACATAACTCATTATAATTAATCATGAGGCAGACACCTTTATCCAAAGCAACTTCCCCTGGAGCAGCCTAAAATCTGTCTAGATCAAGGGCATGTTTATATTTGATACATGTATTGACAAAAGTATTTTTTTTCTGTCAACCAAAGGCTAAGCAACATCTTACGAGCACACAACCGCCTGGAGTCTCGGTACAGCAGCAGTTCTGGAGGTTCCTATGATGAGGAAAAGAGTGAGTCAAGTTTATAGCTTCAACAAATGGGCAAAACAGTTTGTTTTGGATTGATTGATATTTACTATATGCAGTGGAGGAGCTTCTGAGCAAAGTCAAGTTCAACAGTTGGAACTGGAAGTCTGAAATGCTTCCCCTTTGGCCATGGATGTCGAGACAGTTCTGGCCTGAGGATGTTAAATATTATCAATAACTTTAAAGCAGTAAAATAGTTCAGACCTTTTTTGAATTTGAGATGATATTTCTGATAGCCAGCTCAGGTAATACATTTCAGCTTGAAATAGTTTAAGCTTAAGCTTTATGGTTTTTGAGCATGATTGCATTAGACATGAGGTATGGCAGGAATGGAGTTTGTCTGTCTACATACCATTCATGCTTTGAGGGTAAATTCCAGTTTTATTACAAGTCTCATGGATGAAAGGCATACCTGTCAAGGATGGCGTGTTGTTTTCAACCTTTTTGCTTTGCCTGCAGGTGAGCCGCTCCCACCGTATGCCATGTGGCTTATGAGTGTGCTAGAAACCAATCAGCCGCTTCCTCTTCCCATGCCAGTTAACGGAGGCTGCTGGGCACCGCTGGTCGATTATCTACCTGAAACAGTCACCCCACGAGGACCCCTCCACAGGTCAAATTTCTGGATTTTATTTTATTTTATTTTATTATTTATTTTATTTATCCATTGCATTTTTATTTGTTTTGACAAAATAAAACACATTCATTTAAATAAATTTAATTATGTATTTATTTATGATGTTACAATAAAACAGCCATTAAGTAACAAAAGTAAATCTATACTTTATATTATGTAAAATCCTTTTATTCAGATTTAGATTAAATGTCCAAGTCTTGTAGAGAATTACATACTAGCTTTTAAAGCACTGTAACTTGAGTCGTTAAATTTAATCTCTCATCATAAAACGTGATTCTTATCAATCCCACGGATTATGTAATCCTGAAATCTTAAAGCACGTCACTCTGCAATTATCAGACAGATGGAAAAGAGATGATCAGAAGCTGCAGTGCTGTCGTCAGAATCCCTTTGACCTGAAAAAAAAAACACGATAACATGTTACCAATGTTCTTTTTAACGTCTACTTAGGAACTATGAACAATGGCCATCATCAACGTAATGACAAAACCAACATACTCCCTTTAAAAAATTTGTTTTGTCACTCAGTCACAGCTGTGAATATGTTCTGAAAGGTCATTGCTGGTATGTGTTTTTGTTCATGTACTGAAAGACCAGTGTGTTTTGTCTGGTGCAGGTGTAACATAGCAGTGATCTTCATGACGGAGCTGGTGGTGGATCACAGTGTGAAGGAGGACTGGGCCCTACACCTCCCTCTACTGCTCCATGCCTGTTTCCTGGGTCAGTAGAGCCTCTGTGTTCTGTTCTCATCCCAATTTGGGGCATTTATCAGGGATTACACGTCTAGATTAAGGCTGCAGTGCTTGAGTCAGGTGTTCTCAGATGAAAAGTGCTGCTTTTACTGTAGTACATGTTATTTTTATCCAAAATGGATTTGCTTTTGTCTTTTTTTTTTAATCTAATCTCATCTGAACTGTTGCATCCCTCAATGTGTCTTATGACTGCAACTATGTGGCTTGCTACGAGAACAATGTTGTCAGTGAAAGCAGTAGCTGATATCTCCTGAACATGTAGGATGGACCCACCTTATCTTTTTTTAGAAATATGTGAAATATTTGTATCCCTGCGGATTGAAAACATGAATCAATTCAAATCAAAACAACATTTAGGTGTTGAAAGACAAAAAAAAACAAAGGCTAGAACCAGATATTCCTACTTATCCCTTCCATAAAGCCCCCAAATGGACATAAACAATAATGAATGAGTGAAAGTACAAATGTAAACCTTTAACTTTAAGATTTGGGCTCTTTTTTTTTAGGTATGGACCACTACCGCCCAGAGGTGTTTGAACACTGTAAGAGACTCCTCTTGCACCTTCTCATCACGCTATCTTGCAACAACAATTTCAGCCTCATTGCCTCTGTTCTGCTAAACACCAGAGATGCCAACAGCAACAAGAGCCTGACTTTTAAACCCATCTACCAGCCTGAGTTCTACACAGGTACTACACTTAACATCCAAATATGTCCAAAAAACAATGAAAACATTTGTGTGTGTGGTTTGTGGTAGTCAAACTTTCAATGCTAGTGTCAACAGGGGTCACCAGGAGTCAGAAGATACAAATAATATGATACATACTAAGCCTATAATACATATATATGGCTTAAATAAGTACTTTGAAACTATGCTGCAGCTGCATTCATTTTGCAACCACGTTTTTATATAATTGTTAGACCTGGAAATGAAGGGCAAATTCAATGATGAATGCTTTGACACTTTGTGAAACGCTACATTTTATTAAATGTTGTGAAATTCTGCCTTCTATAAAAGAAATTTAGCAACTTCTCATGAATCCTGTTTATCACACCCTCCTTGCATGAACACTTACTCATTGGCTTTGGTATTTGACACATAGCTTTGAAGAGTGCAGTCATGTTGAAATCCTGTGGAGGGGTGGAGAGTGAGAATTCTTATCTGTGCAACTTCTGGAAGTGCAGCCAAAAACAATTATATGTACACAGAGCATCTAAAGGTCTGATTAGAGCATTCCTATGGACTATTTTTATCTTTTTGCTCCAAATGGACGGTGGTCTCAATGTTTTTTATGCTGTTAAAACATGTCTAGGCAAAGTCAAAATGATGCTGATAAGATGTAATTCGCCAGCCCGTCATAACAGCATAGTGATTGAAGTATTGTTCTTTTTTTGGCTCATTTAGGAATGTTATCACTCTATTTGTCTTGCCCAAATATTTCAGTTGAGTACGTTAAAATGTGGGCTAATCTTTAGAGCTTGTTCCTTCCCAAACATTTTACTCACCCTACGTGTGGTGTTCAGGTGGTGTGGACTTCCTCCGGAATGGCCAGGCATCTCCGGTTCCTGATTCTGGCCTCAGTTCCTCTTCTACCTCGTCCAGCCTGAGCCTCGGAGGCAGCAGCTCCAATCTTCCTCACCTGGCCCAGGAAGAGGTGGAGCAGATGGAGAGCAGCACTGAAGATGATGAGAAGAGCAGCAAACTCATTGAGTTTCTCACTAACAGGTACAAGAAGAACCTACAGTAACACAAGTTTGGGATCATGTTTGTTTTTGTTTGTTTATTTTTTAAGAAATGTATATGAAATTTATACTTTTATTCTGCAAGGATGCATAAATTGATAAAAAGTGACAGTAAAGACATTTATAATGTTACAAAAGAACTTTTAATTTTTCTATTAATCAAAGAATCATGAAAAAAATTGTCAATGATTTCCTCAAAAATATTAAGCAGCATAACTGTTTACAACATTGATAATGATAAGAAATTATCTTGAGTGCCAAATCAGCATATTAGAATAATTTCTGAAGGCTCATGTGACACTAATTGCTGCTAAAACTGTAGCTTTGCCATCACATGACTAAATGACATTTTAAAATATATAAAAATAGAAAACAGTTTTTTGAAAATAACTTAGTTCTGTTTTGTGTTTGTTTCTGTGACTTCAGACAGGCTCACGTGACACTAATTGCTGCTAAAAATGTTGCTTTGCCATGATGCCATCACAGAAATAAATGACATTTTAAAATATATAAAAATAGATATATTTGTTTTATTTGAATAATATTTCACAAATATTTTACTGTATTTTAAATCTGATAAATGCAACCTTGGTGAGCATGAGACTTCTTTCAAAACACAAAAAATCTGAATCATGATAGGTACAGTACATAAATGCTGTGATGTTTTTATTATATTAAATTTATGTTATATTGAACTTAACAAATGAAGTGTTTAAATATTAATTTTAATAGGGGCCAGATAACCTCTGCACTGTTACTTGTTCTTTACTGCGTATGTAACTACAATGAAAGGTCATTTCATGTTAATATTCCAGAGCTGTTCAGGAACTGATTCAGGAAATGACACATCTGACACGTCTTACATCTGACATCACTAAAAATGTTACAGACTTGTATGTTGCATTTCATCAGTCTTCATCAGAGCGGTTCTCTTCTCACTGGGGTGTTGCTTAAAAGGGCATCTGCCTGATGTTGGTGCTGGTGTTGGTTCTTTCAGACTATGTTCACACTGCAGACAATTCCAGATTGTTTTTCAAATCCCATTTTAAGACTGGCAACACTGTTATTTGCTCATGATCAGGTGGATCTGTGTGGCATTTGCAGTATAGTTATTTTCTGCCAATATCTTTGGTTGCCAAATGAAGGCATTTGCACACTACCGAGTGACTTTCTACTTCAATAACTGGAAGTATTGAAGCTATTACTGGAAGTATTGAAATGATTATTATGCTGTTAACAGCTATGGTCAACAGAGAAAAGCAGTCAGATGTGAATTGGATATGAAAAAACTGGATTTGAGCTGCGTGAACTAGTTTTTACAGTATGTACAGAACTAACTTTTTTCACTTAAATATTGATTCAAACTACAGTAGTCAACATCAAAACCTTTCATCAAAGTTGTCCTAAAACCAAAACAATACCCGTTCTTGTCTTAGGACAACTTTGATCAACTTTTTTGATCCACTTCAAATGTTGACTACTGTATTCCTCGCCTCATCTTTAAAAAGTTTCATGCATGTTCATCTTGCATGTTTAAAATATTTAATATACAGCAATTGCTGCCTGATTAGTTAGTTTATTTTAAGTTTTGACTGAGGAAAGTTCTATCAAAACTTAAGAAACACAGCAACACGTTTGGTGGTTTGCAGGCAAATAGCATCTTTTGGCCTAGTCTGCCATCTAGTGGCAGTTTTAGTCACAAGCAAGTAATATTCAAACATATCACATTGCTGTCATTTACAGTTTATACTGCATATGTAAGAGATCTTATAAATGGTCATGTGGTTTGTTTAGGCCTTTTGGACCATTGTGGAGCCATGAAGACATCACTCCTAAGAATCAGCACTCAAAGAGCACAGAACAGCTCACCAACTTTCTGAGACATGTAGTGTCTGTGTTCAAAGAGTCCAAATCAGGTAAGTCACATTTGTCCTAAGTCATTCCAGTGTTCGTCTAGATTAATAGGGTGCAGCTTGTGACATTTATCTAATTTTAATTTATATCCCTGTATTTACATGCCATATTCTCTATGTTTGTAGACATTCGGCTTGAGCAGCAGTTGAGTGAAGTGGCGTTGCAGATGGCTCTGTGCAGCTCCTCCAGACATTACGCTGGACGTTCCTTCCAGGTGTTCAGAGCTCTGCGGCAGCCCCTGTCAGCGCTGGCCGTGTCCGACTTGCTTTCACGCTTGGTGGAAGTGGTCGGTGAGCACGGGGAGGAGGTTCAGGTGAGCTTCTGGTTCTGTAATGACTGTTCTGACTGATTCAGTGAGCGAATAAACACAGAATGCATCTTCTCTGCAGGGGTATGTGATGGAGCTTCTCCTCACTCTTGAGTCAGTGGTGGACAATCTAGCTGAGTGCCTGAAGAACAATGACTTATTTGTTATATTACGGTAAGTTCCCGCAATGCAACATTACTTCTGTCAGGACCACTACCGTCAATATGATTGACACTTAGCATACAGTTTGGTTTGGCGGTATGGTTCTGTTCTGGGAAAAACTCACTGCCCATCCATGAGGCCTGTTATGAATGAGCAGGGAGAGCAGCAATAATAACCCCCCTAGGGTAAACCAAACAGAACTATCATTAACGTACTTAATGATATTTAAGTGTAACACATTATTCAAGATAAAAGGAGTCTGATTCAACGAGGAATATAAGCAAGCCAAGCCCTGACTGTGGCGAAAGGAGGAGTTGGGGATGGAGGAGGGTAATTTGCTCCTGAGCAAGCGAAAAAGCTGCTGAATAATACTGAATAGACCTTATATAGGAATGCCTATAGGTAGATGTGATCAGCTGAGAGTCAGCCGATGCAAGCTTGACTCACGTGAACCTGCCGGAACTAATGCTATATGCTTGATTTATGTAAAGCCTGACATATGAAATAATCATGAATAGTCAGAAAAATCTTTTTTTTTTTTAATCGACAGAAGGCATGTAGTAGTTTGTGTACAGTAGGTTTCTCAATAAGTTTTGATAATAATTGTTGATTATTTAGAAGCCTTAGAAATTTGCGTATGAAATATGATAGAGTAGGCTTTAAAAGGTTTGAGTCTTCTAACTTCAACATCAAAAGTCCAAGAGGCTTCGATGTTTGTTAGTGATCAGTCTGTGTTCCTGCAGGGCATCTTCGCCAGATCTTCCATCCAGCGGCAAGTTAACACTAAACCGTAAAAGCACCAGTCAGCTGGACCTGATCCCAGGATCAGGCACTGCTTCTGAGCGAACACGCCACCAGCGTAGCTACTCCGTACCCAAGCGCTTTGGCGAGCCTGAGCGTTCCTCCGAGGTTCCCCGGAGCGCCACCTTGGATCGCATCCACCATCATCAGAGCAGTATCTCCAAGCTCAGATCCCTGTCCTCATCATCTTCCAGAGACAACGTGGTCTCCACCGACCCAACCAACGCCAACCATCCTCGCAACCTGCTGGCCACCATCTTTTGGGCAGTGGTGTCACTCATGGAGTCAGACTTTGAGTTTGAGTACCAGATGTCCCTCAGGTTGTTAGGGAAGCTGCTAGGCCACATTTCATTGGATAAGCAGGAATACAGAGAAAAGCTGGAGAAGATCCAGATCCAGCTAAAATGGAAGGAGTTCTCTGGGCTTCAGCAGCTGCTTCTGAAGGGCTTCACCTCTGCAAACACCACAGAACTCACCTTGGAGATTTTCAGCCAGCTTACGCCCGTCTCACGCCTACCTGTGGTGGACACCTCACAAGCCATTGGTAGACCTTTTCATTTCTATTACCAGCTAAATGTACCTTTCTAACATAATTCTCCATTAATCCACCAAAATTCATGATCATTTCTCATTTTAAGTGGGATTATGAAAACAAATCTGCTATTACCTTTCAGGTTTCCCATTGAACGTGCTCTGCCTCATCCCCCATCTTGTGTTACACTTTGACTCACCTACTCAATTCTGCAAGGACGTGGCTGAGAGAATTTCCCAGGTCTGTTTCTGTTACCTCAACCACACTATAAATGCACTTTTATAGCTAGTCAAAGAATCTACATCACATTTGTTTACTGAAAATCACTCATTTTGATTTACAGGTTTGCCTTGAGGAAAAAAACTCCAAGCTGTCCAACCTTGCCCATGTGATGACACTGTACAAAACACACTCCTATACCCGTGACTGCTTCTCTTGGGTCAATGTGGTGTGCCGCTACCTACATGAAGCGTTCAGTGACAGCACACTCAGCATGGTTACTTACATGGCGGAGGTAGGAAGACCACAAATAAAAGTTAACCTTGCGACATTTATAATTTTAATGAAAAAAGTATGATAAACAAGACAAGAATGTGAACATACACATACTTTGTGTTCAGGAAAACTTTCTAATACTTTCTGTGTTTTGTAAACAGTTGTTGAAGAAAGGATTACCCAGCATGCAACAAACTCTTCTGCAAATCATCTATAGTCTACTGAGTCACATGGACCTGAGTGGTATTCAAGCCAAACTCTTCAACATGGAGGTTCTAACAACCATAGAGAAGTTTGTTCAGGTGTGACTCCTTTAATTTATCACGTACAGAATTTATTTATGGAATTTGTTCCACAACTTTAATTAAAATGTAATCATTTACATATGCTTTTGGCCAAAATGACCTACAATGCAATGTTATTTTATATACTATTATATAAAAATAATAGTATTTTGATATACTATTGTAGTATTTATTAATATTTTGAATGAGCATTAATTAGCATTTTCAGTTATCATTTAAATTCAGTTTGTAAGTTTGTAATTTTTGTGCTTTGATAATTTTATTAATTTTTAAAAAAGTTTTTAATTTTTTTACATTTATGTTTAGCTTTATCTTTTACAGTTTTTGTCATTTTAATACATTAAATTCAACTTATTTTATTTCAGTTAGTTGCCAAAGCAACATTTCTTATTTTTTAAGCTTAAGTTTTTCAGTTAATATTTTTTAATTTTTAATTTTATTTAATTTTATTTCTATTTTTTATATTTTAATTGAATGTATTTTATATGCGAAAACCATTTTTACCAACACTGCTACAGTGCATTACAAAAAAAAAAAAAGTTGTAAATGTGAATTTGCAGTGTGTATTGAATGTAATGAAATAAAAAGACTGTACTGCAAGATAATAGTAACTGAAATATAGCTAAATGAATCAGGATCCAATTAAGAATCAAGAACTTGTGAATCTGAATTAAACTGCATAGAAATCGAATCGTTAAAGGAAACACAACATAAAGACATAACTAATCAGTAATCATTTTACACTCTGTAGCTTTTCACACAATATTTATTGTGGGCGCTTCTAAAATTATCCTCAATGATCACATCTAACTGGCTCATATCATTCAGCCTTAATTTGTTCATGACATAATAGTGTTTTATAGCATTTCTACTGTAAACTTCAAGCTGTCTTACATCTTTAGTAAGGCCACTGGTTTTCCATCTCTCAACCCTTCCTTCGGAGGGAGAACAAAAAGAGAATTAAAAAACACGACCTTGTGCCAGGGCTATAAATCCAAAGGCACACCCAGCAGCAGTTTATAAACAGTCAGTCCTATTGGCTGCTGTCCACATTACTGAGGCCTTCAGTGTGGCCTCACAGCAAAGACGCTCCTCTGAACTACTGCTTCTCTCGCTGGGCTCGTGTGTTTATCTCAGCAGAAGAAGAGACAGCTACTGCTCTTGAAGATGGATTGACTGTATGTAATGCTTTGGGAGGTGAGCAAGTTTCTGAATGTGTCCTTTGAGAATAACTTAGTTCTGTTTTGTGTTTGTTTCTGTGACTTCAGACTGCACATTGGAAGGAAGCCTTGAACATATTAAAGCTGGTGGTCTCCCGCTCAGCTAGTCTGGTTTCGCCTTCATCCCCGCAGAGTAACACATCCACTGTGGATGTCAGGCGTGTTTGGGACACACCCTCCAAAGCCCTGCCTGGAAAGACCCTTGACTTTCACTTTGACATTTCAGAGGTATGACATGTCTGTATCTGTTTTCCTTTCTTTATTGTCATTAAACAGTACAAGCCAAAAGTTTGGACACTGAATTTATGTTTCTCATGATCTATAATACCCTGAGGCTTATACATAAATGCTTGAAATCAGTAGTGTAGCAAGCACAGACTATCCAGCATCCTTCAGTACTGTTTAATAACCATCCCAGGATGCACCTCATAAAGTTGGTTAAGATGATGAGTGTGCAGCTGGAATGAAGAGAAAGGGTGGTAACTTTGAAGGAGCTAAAATGGTTTTAAAAATTTTTTTGGTCACTATATAATTCCCATACTTCCATTTGCATTATTTTATAAGTTTATTTAAAATATTATATTATATTATATTATATTATATTAGTATTATTCAATTTATATAGTACTTTTAAATGCATAACACAGGAAAAAAATAAGACTGAAAAAATACTAAATATTATTTTTATTATTAGATATTATTTTATCATTTGCCTTTCAAGGAGCTAAAAATGGTCTTAAACGTTTTGTGGTCCCATTTTTGGTACCTTCCATTTGTGTTATTTTATAAGTTGATTTAAAATATAATATAATATTATATTATATTAGTATTATTCAATTTATATAGTACTTTTAAATGCATAACACAGGAAAAAAATAAGACTGAAAAAATACTAAATATTATTTTTATTATTAGATATTATTTTATCATTTGCCTTTCAAGGAGCTAAAAATGGTCTTAAACATTGTGTGGTCCCATTTTTGGTACCTTCCATTTGCATTATTTTATAAGTTGATTTAAAATATTATATTATATTATATTAGTATTATTCAATTTATATAGTACTTTTAAATGCATAACACAGGAAAAAAATAAGACTGAAAAAATACTAAATATTATTTTTATTATTAGATATTATTTTATCATTTGCCTTTCAAGGAGCTAAAAATGGTCTTAAACATTTTGTGGTCCCATTTTTGGTACCTTCCATTTGCGTTATTTTATAAGTTGATTTAAAATATATATTATATTATATTATATATAAGTACTATATAAGTATTATAGTATTATTCAATTTATATAGTACTTTTAAATGCACAACACAGAAAAAAGACTGAAAAACACTAAATATTATTTTTATTATTAGATATTATTTTTATCATTTAAAAAATATTTTATCATTTAAAAATTATTGTTATTATTGTAAAAAAGAGAAAGTTGTTATTTTAAGTGATGGTGTACATTAAGTTAGTGAAGCTGAGATGGTGCATAGTGTGTAAAAGTGAGCCATGCCAGCAAACCACCAAATGCTGGCGTCCTTGATAGGATTGTCCACATTTTCCAAGGTGGAGTCATGCATTTTTTTTTGTAGTTTTGTCCTCTGTGTTATTTATTTATTTATTTTTTTCATTATTATTGTACAGTAACATTTGTAACAAACTCTGAAGGTTAGGTTTTCTGTTTAAAACTTATTGGAAATATGAACAACCTGGCCTTATTAAAGTGTGGGAACCAAACAGGGAGCTATTTGTGTAGTGCATGAATTCCAGGAAATTATGTCAGTCCGGCTGTGGCGCTTTACATCCAGAGCGGCGAGAGCTGGACAGCCCTTCTAGAGTCTCAAAGCAGACTCCTCTGCCCTCTGTCAAATACCTCTGGGACGTATTTAGCCTCTAGCAAGTGAGCGAGACAGTAGGAAAAAACCTCAAAACTGACAGGGAACTCAAAGCATGCTCCATTCCATCCCAGCAGAAAGGATTTCACAGGAATTAAGGGCAGGTGAGCTCAATAAGGGAAATCCTGACATAACCCCCAAGCTTTGTTTGGCTCACTATATTGAAGTTCTGTTTTTGAAAGCTCCGCTACGAGACACAGAGGAGTAGGACCATTGAGAATAGACGTCCACTTTTTCCAGCAGGTACTGAATTGTTGGTCGGGATCTGAGGCAACTTGACGTTAGCGAAGGGAATGGAAGGACTTTTGGGCCGAGGGCCACAAGCTTATGACATGAAAGGAAAAGAGCAGACGTGAAATCCCTGGGCTTAATGGTGTGTGACTTTGTGTGTGTTTTAGACACCGGTGATTGGCCGGCGATATGACGAGCTTCACGGTTCTCCGAGGGAAGATGGGAAGAATGGAGGAGGAGTTACTGTGACTCGCAGTACCTCCTCTACATCCTCGGGCTCCTACCAAAACAACCACGTGCTGGTGCCTGTCAGCTGGAAACGACCACAATCTTCACAGGTAAGCACTCACAAATACACTGTTTGAAGTTCTGACATTTGCAAAAAAATGTATATATGCATTTCTATATCTCCTATATTTTAATGTTTTTATTTATTATTTTATTTTATGTAATTTGATCAATTACATTAAATTATTTTTTGTCATTTTATTTTATATTTAATTACTTTTTTATAATTTTGTTTTATTTACACTTAATTTATTACATTTTTTATTTTTTTTTTGTCATTTCTCTCCCAATTTAGAAAAGAACTCGTGAGAAGTTGGTGAATGTATTAACTTTGTGTGGCCAAGAAGTTGGACTCACCAAAAACCCATCTGTAAGTGACGCGTATATGTTATCCATCCAGTATTAAATATTTGAACATACAGTATGTCAGGAATCATTCTTAAGCACTTCCTACAGGTGATTTTCTCATCCTGTGGGGAACTGGACCTGATTGAGCACCAGCCCAGTCTGGTGTCATCTGAGGACGGCACACGGGACACAGAAAACATGGATGACACCACTTCAGAACAGCAGTTCTGTGTATTCAGAGACTTTGACTTCCTGGATGTGGAACTGGAAGATGGAGAGGTGAGCAGATATTTAAAAAACAAAACCCAAATGATCGGTTCCCTCTTGTGAAATCTTTTGACTTCCAAATTACTTGGGCAAACTTTGTTTTGACTGCAGTAAAGTGGACCTTTGGGGAAAGCAGTGCTGAGCATTAAACTTTTGCAAAGTATCAGTCAGAAATAAACTGTTGCACAGTTTGCGCAATACTACTGTAACTTTCTTTAACTCTTTGTAATACATTCTCCTCTCCTTGTTTATGTCTGTACCATCAAGGAGATGCAGGTAAGCACAGGAATCCACCAGTGTTGTGCTGTGTGCAGTAGGACAAGATGAAATTGTGTTTTTCATATGCTGTGCATTGTGATGCATGTCCATAACTCTGCCTGGAAACATCATTTTATTTTAAGCAAGTTCAAAATACAATGGCACATCAAAACAGATTAATTCAATTTAGATTGGACAGATGAAATTCTAACATAAATGATTGTTTATGTATTTGTTTTTTATTTATTGTAAAATTGCACCATTGTTTAAAAGTTTGGGGTCTATAAGATTTTTTTTAACTGTTTGAAAGAGACAGCAAAGGCATTTAAAAAAGTTATAAAAGATTTTAATCTCAAATAAATGCTGTCGTTTTGAAAAAAGTGAATCTCGTTTTCCACAAGAATATTAAGCAGCCTGACTGTTTCAACAATGGCAATAATAAGAAATATTTATTGACCACCAAATCAGCATATTTGAATGATTTCTGAAGGATCGTGTGGCTGGAAAATTCAGCTTTGCAACAGGAAAAAAATTACAATTTAAAATATATTAATTTAGAAAACTTAGAATTGTAGTAATATTTAACAATATTACCATTTTTACTGTATTTTTGGTCAAAGCAATGCAGCTTTGGTGAGCATAAGAGACTTGTTTCTAAAATCGTACTGACCCCGAACTTTTGAACTGTACAGTAGTGTGTTTTAGAAAATGTAAAAATGTATTGTTGGGTAGCATCTATAAATGTTTAGTCACTCCTTATGTGGTTTTTATTATATTGCAGTATGTTTGTATTTTAATAGCTTGGCCGTCTCTAGTTTGCACTCCTATGAAATCATTAGAGTCATTTCATTGAGGTCATTCTCCAAATTTGCTGAAGCTGCCATGCCACAGAGAGATTTAAAAAGGCAGATTCAGCCTTTTAAATAAATTCTCCCTTGTGGATAAGTTTGAGAAGTCATCATATTTTCATTCCAACCTTCACTGTAACAGTATCAAATACTTTTTGCTTCTTTACCATTTCGTTTTGGTCAAGTATGATTATAAAAGAAAATAATTTAAGTAGTGCAGCAAAAGCAACTTTTTGAGTTCAGTGTTTAAGCAAGCTTTTCTACACTGCTGAACTGGATCTGTGAAGGAATGTGGATGTTGACTCTTGACTCTGATGTCAAGGCATGTGGCTGCAGTGATAACTTGAGCCTTCAGGGACTTTATTACTTGCTCTACAAGAACGAGAATGTTTAGAAATGTGTTCCTGCATTGCGGTTTCCTTTAATCCTTTATATATGGAGAGATATCCTTATATAACAAACTCACAGACTGAGCACCTTCACATATACAGCATGCTGTAGCCTATGACTGTGTGCGTTTTGAAATCTGGTTGTGTGCCATATACCAATTCAGAGGACTCTTTTTTTCTCTCACTCTTTCTCTGACAGGGTGAGACAGTTGACAGCTTCAACTGGGGTGCGCGGAGGCGTTCCATTGACAGTCTGGACCAGGCCGAAGCCCAACCAATGGAGGAGGACCGCCAGCTCTCAGGAAGCTCTCCAAGCCTGTGTCCAATCGTCCATGATGATTCTGACGAGTCTTCTGAGGAAGAGTCCCTCACAGCCAGCCAGATCCTCTCAGCCTCACAACTAGTAATGTTGCACTTTTGTTCATTTTTTGTACACTATTTGACTTAATGGGATATATGAAACAGGATATTCATTGGGAAATATTGTATTTTATCTAATAGGATTTGATTGGATTGTGAAAAGAAAAGTTGTTTTAGAGGCAGAAAACTTTTGATAAAAGATTTCTTTTACAGTATTTTATAATAACCTGTTTTATAGAAATCTATAAAAACGCTATGTCTAATTAAACTCTCTTAAATTGCTCATTTCAGAATGTCAGCCTGTCTCCTACTGAGGAACTAAACCCCATGGACTCCCCTCCCATCTCCTTTGACAACACTCAAGCTGACCCAATTCCTCTTTCCACCCCAACGCCCAGCTTTGAGATCTCAGCACCCGAGGGCTCGAACCATCGGGTGAATAAGAGCTTCAAAATGGCTGATCTTTGGGGGCAGACACATTCCTACTCATACCGCACTTCTGTTCTGGAGTTTTTCCATTAACACGGTTGAAAACGAAATCTCTTTCTGTGCTTGCTTTATCTGTCTGGCTCCGCTTTTAGCATGGGTAGATTTTAGGGAGTAGTTGGCTAATACTATTTTCCTATTACATGCGTATTTAGGATGGGGGCATTAGATTAATGTGCAAAGCGGCATGGCAAGTAATTCTTGCTCTTCAAAAGCTCCCCGTTTCTATCTGCTAACCATTTCTCTGCTAACCGCTTTTCATCTTTGAGGCCTACCACAGTCTCAGAAATAGGCTCTGGATGAGCCACTAGGGCAATGTGTATGGCTTCTCTGTGGGTGTCAAGGATGTAACATCACTCACATACTAAATGCTAGGGTTGCAAATAAAGAGAGTGTACCCATTGCCTGTGGCCATAGACATGAGACCAGACCAAGCAGATATTGGTCCTCCTATTTTTAAAGGTCTCTTAATATATCTGAATTTGAAATTTTTGAAAATTATAAAAAATATATTTTTTAAAAAGCACTCAAAAGATAAACGATTCTCAGCATGAAGAGTTTTAGTTTTGAAAGGTTAGTGAATATTTATTTATAAATATATGCATTGTTTTGTGTTTTTTTTATTTCAATTTTTATTTATATACATATATTTTAAATTAATACATGTATTATTATTATTTTTTTTAAATAATACAGAGTTGGTTGACCATTTTATTTTTTATTTTATTTATTTTATTTTATTTTATTTTCCTCAGCCACCCCAATTAAAATAAATGTAATAATTAAATCAGTGTTTTAATTAAATTTTTAAATCAATTTTAAAAATATTTGACAACAGAAAACGTTTAGCAGTTAGTAAATTATGGAGCTGACATTTGGGGGAATCACTTCTGTATTTTAGCCACAGAAGTTATCAAAAAGACAATCGTTTAATTAACGATTAGTCAGTCTGTCACTAATACCATCTTTATCATCTCAGAATGGGAAATTCAGCCACATAATTTGATCTTTTCTTAATATTATTTTTTCACAATATATGTTTTCGTTGCCATAAATACTTACCAAGCTTGTCTTACTTCTTGTGAATCCTGTCCAAAACTAGGCTGAGGATTCAGCTGAAGAAGAAGAAGAAGAAGCCATTGTTAATGAGAACGATATCTCACTCTGCATTTGTGAGTCGCCTCCTGCCTTTAGTTGTTCTGACATCCTAACAGCAGACACACCCCAGAAGGAAAACAACTTCTTTACTGACAACGAGACAAGCTGTGTACCCAGGTACTGTGAGCTTCAAACTCTCAACATACATTAGTCTGTCTGGAAAAGTCAGACTTATCTCAAGTTTCTCATAGCTGATGTTTGAACTTTTTTTCCTCACCACATAATTCTATCCCTCACTTCCTCCAGTGGGTTTGGAGACCAGCAGAGCTCTGTGGCGCAGGCAGAAGAGGAAAAGGAAGAGCTGTTGCTAGAGTCCTGTTCCTCCCCTCCGCCTTCTCCCTTTTTCTCCGCCATCCTGGCCGCCTTCCAGCCAACTGTGTGCGATGATGCTGAGGAGGCTTGGCGCAATCATCTCAACCAGTTGGTGGCTGACTCGGATGGTTCCTGTGCGGTTTACACATTCCAAGTCTTCTCCTCACTCTTTCAGGTAACGTATAGAGATACAGTAGGTTGTCACTGGTCTTTATTATGTTGATTTAGATCAAGCAGCTTCAACAAAGATCATAAAGTGAAATTAATCAACTGACACTTTTCTAAAATCCTAAGTGTTGCAGGCAAATGTATTGTTTTGTTACAAAAAAATTGTATTGTTGATGTCAAATGATTTGGTTCTTGGATTTGATTTGGATTTGGTTTCTTTGGTTCATCACACAAAGCTGACAACTCAGTAGTGCCAAAGTTTTAGAAGACATGTCTTTGATTATATTCTATTGGTACTGACAACATGCTGGTTTGGGACAAATTAAACAGGATGTGTTGTTTCTGACCTCCAGAGTATACAGACCAAGTTCTGCACCTTGACCTGTGACGCTGCTGGTTATCTTGGCGATGGCTTCCGTGGAATCGGAGCAAAGTTTGTAAGGTCGTCCCAGATGCTGACATCCTGCTCCGAATGTCCCACGTTGTTTGTCGATGCAGACACTGTGAGTTTCTAGTTTGAATATGAATTATGCCAATGCTACATCAAGAATACAAATTAGTAAATCACCAGCCTTAGTGTTCTGTTCAATTTCTCGTTCAATGTGTATGTGTGCAATGTACGTATTATGAAATTTTTCTCTTAAATATGTGTTTCAGATTGTGTCTTATGGACTCTTGGAGAAGATGAAATTTAGTGTGTTAGAGCTGCATGAGTATCTAGAGACCTACAACAACAAAAAGGAGGCAGTCAAATCAGTATGTACAATAAAGCATAATTCATTTCTTAAAAAAAAAAAAATTCTTACTGACCCCAAAGCTTGTTCTGTTCACCTTACTGTTATGCCTATGACTCTTCCAGTGGCTACGCAACTGCAAGGCCAGTTTCCCCAAATGCACTGGAGATGGAGTGATCACCTATCAGCCCGCTGAAACAGAGGAGAAGGTATGAAACCTCAGCTGGATAGTCAGCCATTCCAGAGAAAACTAAGGAATAAAGGATATGTACAGGTGCATCTCAATAAATAAGAATGTCATGGAAAAGTTACCTGGGCTTCCATACCACCTCAGCAGTGCCACAAACTGATCACCTCCATGCCACGCCGAATTGAGGCAGTAATTAAAGCAAAAGGAGCCCCTACCAAGTATTGAGTACATGTACAGTAAATGAACATACTTTCCAGAAGGCCAGCAGTTCACTAAAAATGTTTTTTTTATTGGTCTTATGAAGTATTCTAAATTGTTGAGATAGTGAATTGTGTTTTTTTTTTAAATGTGAGCCAAAATCATCACAATTAAAAGAACCAAAGACTTAAACTACTTCAGTCTGTGTGCATTGAATTTATTTAATACACGAGTTTCACAATTTGAGTTGAATTACTGAAATAAATGAACTTTTCCACGACATTCTAATTTATTGAGATGCACCTGTATAAAGAATGTCATTATTATTGAAGTACATGATCAAGATCTCAACATTTTGCAAACTGGAGCTTTAACTAACAGTTCTGCTGTCTAACACTTGATGCAAACCTAAAACTACAGTGTGGCAGTTTACCACAAATAGTGCATGAGTTTCTGTCATTCTTTATTCCCTTGTTAAAAAATAGTACTTCTGTGTCAGTTTTAGTATGGCTGCATTGTCTACTGATTGATGCTACTGTAATGTCTGTTGTGTCCTGAAATATGAGTGAGATTAGGTGACCAAAATGGGTTTCAGATTCCATTTCAATGTACTTCTTATATTTTCTGCATTTCGATTGTTCTGTGATAGCTCTGTGAGTGACATCTCTTTTCTATCTGTCTGCTCTTTAACTTTAAAGGGATAGTTCACCCGAAAATGAAAATTACCCCATGATTTACTTACCCTCATTTGACTTTCTTTTTTTTTCCAGACGAATACAGTAGGAGTTATATTAAAAATATCCTGGGTCTTCCAAGCTTTATAATGGCAGTGAATAGTGGTCAAGATTTTGAAGCAAAAAAAGTGCATAAATCCATCATAGAAAGTGCTCCACACGGCTCCGGGGGGGTTAATAAAGGCCTTCTGAGGCATTTGTGTAAGAAACTAACTAACTGTCGTAATCCCGTTCACGAGAGAGTGGCGTTCCAGCCAATGATGTAGGATGTAGGCGTAGCATAAGCTCCAGTGAGAAGTGATGAAACCGGTGTTTGGTTTTGCTCTCTCCACTAAGCTTCCGTAAGCATAGTGGAGAGAGCAAAACCAAACACCGGTCACAAATTAGAAGTACAAAACGAGGATTTGTAAAGAAAAACATTGGAGGATTTTGATATAAGCCAAGCGGAGACTGGTTTTCCTTTGCTGTAAGCAAAACTTGGTGACTAGCATATTCTCACTGGAGCTTATGCTACGCCTATGTCCTACATTATCCGCTGGAATACCACGCACTCGTGAACGTGCATAGGACAGTTAGCGGAAGCCAGAGATTATGGTTGGTAAAGTTTTCAATATGGGTATTATTCTTACACAATCGCATTCCACTCAGAAGGCCTTTATTCACCAACTTTTGCTGCAAAATCTCGACCTCTATTCACTGCCATTATAAAGCTTGGAAGAGCCAGGACTTTTTTTAATATAACTCCAATTGTATTCGTCTGAAAGAAGAAAGTCATATACCTAGGATGGTTTGAGGGTGAGTAAATCATGGTTTAATTGTTATTTTTTGGTGAACTATCCCTTTAAGCCTGTGCTGTGTTGATTCACAACAACGCCCCCTAGTCTTATGTTTGATACAAGGGTCTTTCTATGCTGGGCTTTGAAGAAGTTTAAAGAAACCCTGAAAAAGTTTCTTTCTCTAAAATTTAACTTAAAAATCCATACTTTCTACCCTTCAAGATCCCTTCAAGTCATAACCAGTTAAAGCAATAAAAAAAGGCATATGGTACAAATTTTTTTTTGTTTGTTTTTTTTACCCAGCACAGTCCCTGTGCAAAAATTAAAATAAGAGGGCGTAGTTGTGATCCTTTTTCTTTCTATGCTTGTCTATTCACTTTTTCTGCTCATGCATGATGGAGCCATTGCTCATGCTTTATATTGCATGTGCCACTGGGCTGCATGATTTCACACTATACTCAAAACTTCTCTTCCTTCTCACTTCTCACCTTTTGTCTTGCAATGCCTGCTTTATAGCAAATGGAATCTCTTGCAGTAAGTTTTATAAAATCTTTTTAACCTCATGTTTTCTTTTTCGCTTGTTCCAAATACCCGTATTATCAGAACATTGCCAAATTGTTTCGCAAGCTTCATATTTTTTAAACTGAAAACACTGTTTTGCTAACACACTTGTATCCTTGTTAAAGATTTGTTTGGTTTCCTATGCTGTAGCTGTTGTGTAATAAATTCTTTCTTATATGCTAAGAAAATGTAAAGAAGAAAATTTTGGTGTTAATTTTATGTGTTTGTTCGCAGCAACTGGAGCTTTGTCAAAGACTCTACAAACTCCACTTCCAACTGCTGCTGCTTTTTCAGTCTTACTGTAAACTGATTGGCCAAGTTCACGCTATAAACTCTGTACCAGAGGTATGTTGACATCAGTGTCTCATCATCTGAGTTTGATTAAGACATTTGTTACTGGAATAGAAAAAGTCTAGCTTGCAAATCGTACTTATGTAGTACAGAGCCCCGTGTGTGTTTAAATGTTCTCCCTTTTAGCTGCAGAACATGTCCAGGGAGTTGAGTGAGTTGAGGAGTAACCTGCGGGCAGCAGCAGCCTCAGTGGCCAATGAGACAGCAGCCGAGCGGAGAGATCCTACCGCTGAATCCCCCTACAGCTCCTCTGAGGCTGCTGTGCAGGCCATTCTAGAAAGCCTGAAAACCAACGAGTTCTCCAGAGCCATCCGTTACATACAGGAATGCAGGTAAACTTCCCACCAGGAGAAAAGACTACAAATTACTGTTTTATATTCAATTCGATTCAATTCAAGTTTATTTGTATAGCGCTTTTCACGATACAAATCGTTGCAAAGCAACTTTACAGCAAATTAAGTTTCTACAATATTTAGTAGTAGCTTATCAGTGGTGACTGTGAGTTAATGTACATATGGCAGAAATGTACGGAAAAATCAATTAAAGATAATACTGGATAATAATAAAAATATTGGAACCTAAAGTAAAATTAAACTGTCATCATTTACTCAAAAACTGTATTCATATCTTTCTGTGGGACACAAAAGAAGATATTTTGAAGAATGATAGCTACAGTACCAAACCGTTTTGGTTCCCATTGACTTCCATTGTATGGACAAAAAATACAATGAGAAACAAAACTGTTTGGTTACTAACATCCTTCCAAAATATAATCTTTTGTGTTCCACAGAAGAAATAAATCCATAGACCTTTGGAACGACATGAGGGAGAGTTTTTTGGGGTGGACTTTTCCTTTACATTTTCAATTTATTGATAACCTATTCAGGAACAGAAAATTAATGCATTTGGAGTAATATGCAGTGCTTTGTATTTTCACTTTATTTCAGGAAAATGTGGCCAAGTGACATCTTCGGCAGCAGCTCTGAGAATGAGATTCAGACTCTACTCAACATCTATTTCCGGCACCAAACTCTGGGTCAGACGGGAACCTTTGCCCTGGTCGGTTCCAAACAAGACCTGTCTGAGATATGCAACCGACTCACTGAGCTCAACTGCGAGATCCGAGACATGATTCGACGGGCGCAGGGCTACCGGGCCATCACTGCCTTCCTTCCTGACTCTAGTGTGACCGGCATCAGCCTTTGAGTCCAACTTTAAAGGGTTAGTTCACCCAAAAATGAAAATTAGGCTGCGTTTTACTCACCCCCGAGGCATCCTAGGTGTATATGACGTTCTTCTTTCAGACGAATCCAGTCGGAGTTATATTAAAAATGGTCTTTGATCTTTCAAGCTGTTTAATGCCACTCAGCGGGTGTTGCATTGCTTCAGTCCAAAAAAACTTAAATAAAAAGTCTCACACGGCTCCGGGGGGTGAACAAAGAAGGCCTTCTATAGCGAATCGATGCGTTTTTGTAAGAAAAATATCCATATTCAAAACGTAATAATCACTTGATTGCGCTCACTGTTGTAAACAGAAGCAGTTCCGGGTAACGCAGCCTAATTTTCATTTTTGGGTGAACTAACCCTTTAAGGGATCAGGCGGGAACTGGCCTTCTTTCCACCACTCCTGTCTGAAGTTGTTGCTGCCTTCACTGTTCTCCCCTAGTGCACTCATTACTGTCCTGACTCTGCTCACATTAAGAGCTTTAAGGATGTACAGCTAATATAGCTTAGAAAAATGCATCAGGAGACACAAAAAGAAGTCTAATCCTTGGCTTTTTTGCACTACTATGTATGTAAGGGGCCGCCCCCTGCCTCTGAAATGGGGCCTCTACTACTGCAGGCATCAAAGGTATACCAAAGCTTCACGAATGGCTCCTCCTGCTCACATCTACCATTATACGTTACGGGAAAATGTGCAATGCCTCACACTAAGTGAAACTTTTCATCTTAGAGAGAATGTTTTGAAACTTCAGTGCTCTCAGCTACTTGATGACACATAAATGTTCTGTTCTTGTTTTTTTTATTTCAAATAAAAGCTGAAAGCCATTGTTAATGTGGCTTTTTAAAAAATGTTTAACAAGATCAGACTTTTCACCGTGCGCACCCTTGCCTCGGCTTTTATCCGTACAGACAGAATGTCTCTTAACACAATGCAATGCTACTGTCAGAGAGACCTGGATGCATAAAAGGGTTATCCAGCACTTATTTATGTATGGGGGTGTTTGATTTTACTAATGTCTTTCTACTGTTTAGTTTTAGTTGCTCCTAGAAGGTGTATTTATATTCTTAAAAGAAAGATTATCATGTTTTGATCATCATAAAATGGTATAGTTTTATAGGATGGAATTCTGTCTATTCTGTCTATTGAAATGGCCAAGCATGCAAAGGTATGTACCATAAGAAGAAATAGAGATATTTATGGAATAAGAAATTATTTTAAATGAAAGACACATTTGTAAATAGTAGTGGGAGTGTAGCCCATACTTGTAAGATTTTATTTTTATGGTTTAATTTTGCTGTCTGCTGTATGAAAGTGTGCATGCAATAAATAGATCAATAAATAATATTAATAAAAAAACGTCTGTTTAGTCAGTGGGTGTTTTTATTTTGATATTTATGTGTCTGTTCTTAGATCTGTAATTGTCCATTATTTTAGGATGAACATGTTTGTTTGTTTTTGTTTGTTGCTATTTTATTGTTGAACTAAATTATATAATTTATATGACCTTTTCCTAAAGGTAACCTTAAATGAGAGGATCATAACTGAAATCAAGCAATGCATTATGTAGTATTTTTTATGGTAGTGCGCCCTCTGGTGCACCACAACGGAAATAATAAAGACACTCAAAGTCAAACATTTTATTTGTCGGTTGTGCAATTTGTTGGCAATGGCACAATCCTCAAATATGTATATTTCTGTGTCATATGACTGTTTTTAAACATGTTTATGGTTTTACAGAATTATATATACCGGCATATATAATTATATCAGTGTGAGTACTATTGCCGACTATATAGACTATCAAAATTGTACATAACAATTTAAATTACATTGTCCAAAACTATGCACACTCCATCTAAGATTGACTTTTTTATTATTAAAGTAATTCAAAAAGTTGAAAGAAGTTTTAGAATAGAATAAAGTAGAATATATGCAAAGAAAATCTCTCTCTCTCTCTCTCTCTCTCTCTCTCTCTCTCTCTCTCTCTCTCTCTCTCTCTCTCATAAACTATTTCCAGTTTCGATTCAGTGGTGCACGTTAGTCCGCCCCCTGAACTGACGCTCGCATTTTGATTGGTCGAGACAACTGCTCTTCCGTTGACGACACGGCGCTTATTGGCGGGATGTGTTAAACTAGCTTTATCCACGCGTAGAATAAACAGATCCTCTCAGAACACTTCAGAGAATAGAACATCTTGAATCGGAGATGAAGACAACATTTCAATGACCTTCGAAAACTCAGAAGTTACAAAACGCTTTCATCTGTGCCAACACGTTCATTTACGGTAACTTCCAGACTTGTTGTCCTGTTTGTAGCTAGTTCAGATAGCTGAGTAGACTAGACAGTGATATGCATGACATAGAACAGTTAGGCTATTTACTTAATTAAAGTTATTTAAATCTCGATGCCAAACTGTTGCGTGATAAGCACGTAATATAAGCCAGATACATTATTGTCAGGGATACAAGATACACCGAATTACATTTTTATGTTTTTGTTTGTTTATCTGTAGGTCCAATGACAACATCATTGTGCTTGGTTCAGATTTAACCCCATCACACTCATGGCAGCATGTTTGACAATTTCTTTCATCAAATTGACAAAGGTAGACATTTACAGTAATATGAATGAAAGGAAGAATATATATATATATATATATATATATATATTAGTGTTACCATATTTCAAATCTTTGAAACTGATCTGATTTATTGTGAATTAAGAGCTTGGACCTCTTAATCCTGACTGGTTTGAGGAATTGACTGCAAAAGCTTCCAGAGATGAAGGACGTACTGACAGTTCAAAAGTTGAGGAGGAGGAGACTGTCAAAGTACCAGAGACATCAGCCCTGGCCAGTCAGCTGTATTCTACACCCAAAATATTCAAGCAACGATGCTTTCAGTCCCCTGCTTCCATTCCTAATGAAGAGTCCCCTTATGAAGGTATATCACAGTTGTTGTGTTATGTATGAAGTATGTGTAAAGGACATAGTCCTGTATAATTGTTTTTCTTCCACCCAGTGGCTAATGGAGACTCAACAGCTTTTCCCTGGACAGAATCAAGCCCTTGTTTGTTTGGTTCAGCCAAAGACGGGTAATTATGTTTATGAATAGGATAATATGAATTTTATGTGAAATATTAAAGTCAAGCAGAAAGTTTAATGAAAGTTTCTCTCCTATCATTTGTAGTCACAGGTTTGATAGATCCTGTGAAAAACCTAGAGATTGCTTTGGTGAGTCAGTTTTAGATTATCTTTAATTTTTCTTTCTTTTAAAAATTTAAAAAACAATAAGATTGTTTTCTATTCTAATATTAAATACTGTACTTTCTTTTTTTAACAACTTCCATATGTGACACCACAGGCCTTCTGGACACACCAAAAAGGTCTTTGGTAAGTCAACACAAGTTTACAAATCTGGTCATATTAGGGCTGGGCGATTTGGCAAAAAAATTTAAATCTCGATTTTTTTAAAGATTTTGAACTAGTCAACTTGAAAATGTAACTACAACATGATTCAAGTAACTTTTTCTTTATTAACCCTCTAGTTAAAGAAAATTCTATTCCAAGTGCAGCACACATGAAGTTGTTAACATGATGAACAAATCACTTGTTAAATATCTTTGCAGAAAAGATGCATGAACTACAACTACATATTGTACAAACTTGTCTTATACATATTATGTGTTCAGAAATAATACAAGGAAAATGCTTTTAAAAAATCTCAAAAGTCAAAGTAATTCAAATTCAAAATGACTGAAGGTATAACACCAGTACTAGGGGTGCTCCGATCAGGATTTTTGAGGCCGATCACAGAAAGCAGTATCTGCCGATACGGATCACCGATACCGACCTTTTTAAGCCTTCTTTTTATCATTTATAACTATTTATAGTGATACTCCAATCAGGATTTTAGACATTTATTCAGGGCCTGTATTTCATTTTTGATAATGGGGGGGAATTCCCCTTTTAGGTGACTCTTGTGAGAGGGGAAGCAGCACGGACTGTGCTTTCACACAAGAGTCCGCTACTGATCCGTGGCTGTTTACCACAAACACAACATTTATCCATTATTTTGATTTCAAATCCAAACATTGTCACTGAAAATGCTGTAGCGCAGCAAACATAGACTCGGTGCAGAAACGATCTCTGCACTGCTGCAGACGCACCGCTCCTGGAACACACTGCCGGACAGCAACCGTGTGCAGTGTGCACACTTTATTAATCTGTTAACATGAGCATGGAAAAAATACGCACCGCATTCGCACTACAAACGGAGTAATGTGAACCTGGCATTATGTGTGTGCACTGCGATTGTGCATGAGCGCACGGTCTCCAGGAGAGCGCGCGAGCGCTGAATGGTTTAAACACTAGCAAGAATTAAAAAGAAATGCGATTTATAAACTTTAGTGACGTTGTGACACTGCCTCGATTGTGCAAGTGACAATTCCTGTGTCAACTGTACAGGATGCAGCTCGCTTATAGACAGACGCGATGTGGTGATTTGAAGACATTTGCGTATTTTGAGAGAGAGTGCGCGCGGTGATTCACTCACGCTGTTTGTACGCCTTACACAAGGTTTTCTAATTACTTTATAAGTTAATTAAGAAATAGCCACCATAATTATTTCACCAGCGCCGGACTGAGACGGTGCCGCTGCATGTCGTGCCAAACCTCTCACGGCAGCGTCATCAGCTTGAGATCGGCCTTTTTAGAGACCGCCGATAAATCATCCCAAAACGATTATCGGCTGATAGTGATCGGTAGCCGATCAATCGGAGCACCCCTAACCAGTATACTATTGTTAACTATAAATGTTCTGTATAAACAGCAGCTTTCAGCCTGTCACTATGATGCAAACATGAAATATCAGACATACAGTAGTAGTTCTTTAGAGGTTTTTTTTTTTATTCGATTGCGCTGCTTTTCCATTGTTTTTTTTCTGTGTAAACATGGATGTGTTTGACTGTTGCGCTCGTGTCTCTTGCAGTGTCTCATGCATGAAACGCCATTCTAAAAACACTGCACTCAAGTTAAAAGACGTTCACTCCCATCTTCTTGCGTTTTACCTATTCCACTGCCCGCGTTGCATCTTTGTCAACACAAAAGCACATTCTGTGTGAATGGCGCTTAGCACTATATTTATGGTCCTTCACAGAGCGGCTAATCACGTGCGCCGACATGCGGTTGGATAGTTCTTTTCTCTTTACTGTTATCACCGAAATATTGTATAAGTGTCTAATTCTAACATTTGGTAATTTTTCTATTCAAAATCGCAATTCCTCGATTTCTAAAAAATTTTATCGTGGAAAAACATTAAATTCGAATTAATCGATAAAATCGGGAAAATCGCCCAGCCCTAGGTCATATCATTTTATTTTTATTAATGCATGCTGTTGGTCTTGTTTTTTGCATGATTCATTCATGGCATGCATGTTTGTCCAAACAAGTGCATTGTCTTCTCAGCAAAATGTTAACATTTTTATTTTGGATAATGTCAGTCTTAAGCAATAAAGCCCTCTTATTTTTGAACCTCTTCAACCATCCTGTTTCAGGATCATGTCACATTCCAAAAGTAAAGTTGGTTGTAAACACTTTTTCTCATTAAGTTCAGATGGCGTTCTAGACATTAATCATAATGCTGAGTTTGTCTGTTACAGGCACGTTCAGCAAAACAGATATCTGAGAGCCTTGGGGCACAAATCAACCCTGACCTATCCTGGACCAGTTCCTTTAACACACCATCCTCTTTGACTCCCACTGTGATGTTGCGTATGTATGAAAATTAAAGTCTTGTCTCTTTAGATGAATTTAGTAGAGGAGAATGTAAAATGAAATGTGCTAGGGAAAAAAAACAATGAAAAATATAAATGTTGAATACAAGTCAGAGTGTTAAAGTCATTAAAAAATAAATGTTATTAATCCGTTGTATCTTGAATCCTTTGAATTGCATGTTGCAATTCCCCTGGTCTCCTGGTCAGAAATGAGCTATTCAGCAAGAGTTATTCTTATTTCTCTCTAGCCAAAACAGAGGAACGCGCTCCATCAAGTGGCCTCAAAGACAAGGAAGCAATTGTAAGTGCAAATCTAAATTTCTGTCTCTATAATATCAAGAATTTTGGATTATGGTGCCTGAAATGCTAAGAGCCTGTTTTTACCAACATGTAATTAATGATGATGCTTGTGCTTACTTTTATACACACTAGTTTGTGCGGAAACTCTTCCCGTCTCTTTCGAAAGGCTCTGAAAGCAATGCAACATTGAGTGATACAACACTAAAACAAGATGGTGAGTGTGACACCGTATATTTGAAACCATACAGAAAATAAACAAAATGGTTAATTTGAAATGCATACACATATCATTAACTCCAAGATAATTCGGATTATTCTGATCTTTTCTCTTCAATGATAGCCAAAAGTGAGACTATTCAGGCTGATGAACTGGGAGAAAAGCCTGTTTGCTCTCCAAGTACATCTCTTGATACAAGTGGTCTGTGGAAGCAGAAGGTTCCCAGTGCTATAGAGGATGGGGATGTCCGCAGCACAGTGCAGAATGTTCTTGATGGTGCTGAGGATGTGCTGTCAATATTCTTCAGCAACAGCACTTCAACTCTGCGAAGAATCAAAACCAAAGAGAGGATCAGAAGGAGAATAACCGATTCCTCAAAGGATGTCAAATCAGTTGTTCTAACTTCAGAACCAGAAGAGAAATTAATGGATGATGTAGAAACAAAAAGCCCAAGCAAAAATAAAGATAGCATTCAATGGACCCCACTAAGTTTATCAGAATCCATTCTTAATGGAGACTGTCCGGACTCGTCTTTGATAAACAATCACAACACTGTAGCATCCAGTGAAACTAATGGTGATACTGTTTTCAACTGCATTGCAGAAAGTAGCCAAACTTTTTCACAGAGTGTAAGACTCGAGTCTTATCCAGAAGGAGCTCAGCGTCAGAAGTCTTTGTTAGACAAATCGCCTGCTTTCATGCTTTCTAGAAAGCCCAGAAAGTTTGTGTATCAAGTGCCAAGTTCAGATCTGTCAAAGACAGTAACTGGACACAAAGAAACTCAACCAGTATGTTTGGATCAAATGCCCAAAGGTAAGGTGTTCAATGTGTTACATTTTCTTATAAATATATTGTGTGCGTATTTTGAACAACATTGTTGCTCTGCATTTTACAGAAAATTCCTCAGTTGAAGAGGAGTCTAGTGACCTTAATGAATCCACAGTCGCCAGTGAAAATGCAGTCGATTATCATACACAGCCACAAGACGTCAAACAGTTATCTGCAGAAATCCATGATCTTGATCTTGGATTGGATACGACACAGCTTTCCAAGGCATTTGCAGAGGATTTCACACAAGAAATAATGCCAGGAGCACGGCTTGATGTGACTCTACAGTGTGACCAAAATGGCCAAGTGCAACATAAAGCAGAACTTGAGGAGAAGAACAAAGATGGTAGTCACAAGGACATTTCTAATTTAGCAGACATATCTGTGACCACTCCAAACAAGTCAACAGTCACGCTTACAACTTTTGAAATCAGTCACGACAGTGGTTGCCCCAGCACCTTTTCCGATTTGGATGGTACGACAGCCTTGTGCGCAGACATCAAAGAGTTTTTTCCTTCTTTTAAAACGGCAAACAACAAGGACATTTCCATACAGGATGAGGATGAGGCTATAATGAAGGCCAAAGCATCATTAGATGAAGCTGCAGGGGATATTTTGATCAACACCTTAAATGGAACTACTCCAAAACATTATCAGACGATAGAAACATTGTGCAAATCTGTTTCAGGAAGCACTAATCCAAATAGATCGCCCACAGGACAGTCCATCTTCTCTCACCATGCATCAAGAGTGTGTGTTAGTGATGCTCCAAAGAGGGACAGTCCAAAGAGTTTGAAAATTAATATTTCAAGCTGCTCTTCACTGCAGTCAAATGAATCCGATTATAAAACCGGTTCAAAGAGGAATATTACAGTTTCAAATGTTGGCTTTCAAACAGAGACTCTTTTGAAAGAGGAATTGGGGAGAGGTTCAGACTCATCAAAGTGCATTCATCAAAATTTGGATTTTAAAAGAAGTGCTGAAAGACAGACTGTGTTCGACATTAGCAGCACACACAAATCCACCGTAGTGAACTCCAGCCGTGATGGTGATGAGGAGAATGGCACTTTGACAGCATCTCAAAAGGCTGATGTTACAGAATTGTGCAATCTTTTGGAAGAAGCAAATAGTCAACAGGAATTTACCCAGTTCAAACCGACAAATCCTGGCTCAGACAACCACACTACAGAGAAAGAGTGGGATCCCGATGTACTCAGTGGAATTGACTTTGATGATAGTTTTAGCTGTGATGTTGTGAAAGGAAAGCATCCCGTCAAGACAGACACTTTTTCAGTAAATGGTTCTAATCGCATTCAAATTGAAGATGCTGCCAAATTACCATGCACCATGTCAAAGAAAACACAAAATGCAATGGTGCCTTTGTCAGTGGCTGAAGACAGTTCTTTAGTTGATATGAAGAGTGTACCGTCTTATTTCAGTGATAATACTCCAGTCAATTGTTTTGGTTTTAAAACAGCTAAAGGGACAGCTATGAGCGTCTCAGAAAAGAGTTTAAACCACGCAAGGCACTTTTTTGAAGAGGACTATCAAAAAGCCATATTTAATAGGGAAGTCGAGGTGGATGTTGGATTAATAAAGCCAGAGCATGCTGAAACAGAGCCTTCAGTCAATACTTCTGACAATATGAACACAGAAAATAAAACCTATGTTCAGACTAAACAAGATGGAAATTTCAGCTGTGGAGATGTAAATAGAGCTTGTAAAGAGATAAATAAGCAACTGGCAGGAAATGAAGGAACCGAGCAGAATTGTTTAGGTGAAAAAACAGATGTTGTTTGTGTTCACTCCAGTAGTCATTTTGGATTTAGTACAGCTAGTGGAGCAAAGCTGAAAGTGTCTGAAAAGGCTCTTTTGCAAGCAAGAAGACTTCTTAATGATGTTGACAGCTTAGAGGAGTCGCAAACTCACAAACTCGTTTTCCATGCTTCTGGAAAACATGATACCTCTATGTCAACAACTAGCCTTAAGAAAACAAAAGCAGTTTCTTGGAGTAATACCTCTATGAAAATAAGTCAGCCACACTTAGTAACTGAAATATCTGATGGTGTGGATAATCCTTCCTTCAACAGTGTGAAGGTCTTTCAAGAACAGAAATCTAGCAGTGATCCTAAAGAAGTTTTTGCAAAGATTTTTTCCTCAGAAACTTTATCACCTCAGTCAGAGGAAGGCTATGGCTTTCAGACTGCCAGTGGGAAAGGAGTTTCCATTTCAGCAGTGGCCCTTAAGAAGGCAAAGGCCATATTTAAAGAATGTGATGAAAATATTGACTTGGAATCTGCGAAAATGGAGGGAACGAATGGCAAACTGGATGTTGAACTCAAACAAGTAAATCTATTTACTGCAAATTGTAAAAGCATGATATTTTCAAATGGGTCTCCCATGGAAGCCAACGCTGTTCTCAGAGACTCTGACCTGACTGATGACCTCTCGTTGCAGCCCTCTTCAGTCCAGCAACCCCCTCAGGAAGAAGTATGTGAGGAGAAAGACCTTCAAAGTGAATTTTCTAAGCATCCTTCTGAGTTGCTTCCTCCTAACGGCAACTGTGCTTTCAGTACTGCCAGTGGTAGGAAGGGGTCCGTCTCCGCTGGAGCACTACAGAGAGCTAAGGATCTGTTGTCGGAATCTGTTGATGGTTTCTCATGTGCTGATGGATCTCCAAAGACAAAGCAGGTGCTTGATATCCATATGGACACTAGCTCTGTAAGAAAACACAAAGGATTCTCTACAGCAGGAGGGAAGATGGTGGCTATCTCTGCTGCTGGACTGCAAAAGGCAAATAATCTCTTTAGAGATTGTGAAGAGGAGAGTTTATCATCTGAAGATCTTCAGCACCAATGTATCAGTGATCTCTCAAAAAAGCCACTGACTAAGGTACGGGCGGCATTTGCAGGCTGCAGTGATGTCTCCTTCAGCCATGAGCATGAGACTGGGAATTCTTCAGGAAAAAACATAGGATTCTCTACAGCTGGTGGAAAGAAGGTGACTTGCTCTGCTACTGCCCTGCAAAGGGCAAAGAGTCTTTTTAAAGATTGTGAAGAGGAGAGTTTTGTTTCTAGGAGTCTTCAGCATCAAGGCTGTAAAGGTTTTAGCACTGCCAGTGGCAAAGAAGTTACTATCTCTGAAAAGGCACTGAGTGAGGTTAGAGCGGCATTTGCAGGTTATGATGAGACTTCCTTGCGTCATGGACCTGAAAATTCTTCAGGAAACAACATAGGATTCTCTACAGCAGGAGGGAAGAAGGTGGCGGTCTCTATTACTGCACTTCAGAGGGCCGAGAGTCTTTTTAAAGATTGTGAAGAGGAAAATTTATCATCTAAGGAAGTCTTACCTCAAACTAAGAGTTCTGAAAACAGTGAGGACATAGTAGATGGAAACCTAAAGTCTGAACAAATAAACAAGAACAATTATGGTTTCAGCACTGCGAGTGGTAAAGGTGTGTGTGTATCAAAAGTTGCCCTTGAGGAAGCTTCTAAATTATTCAGAGATTGTGATGCCCAAGTTACTGTCACTGATAGCCAGCTGCTACAGGGTGATTCCTCAAAATGCCGTCCTCAACATAAAGACAGACTAACCGAAAGCACTCTACACCCTTTGCCATCTAAAGCAACTCAGAATGAACCTGCACAACTAGACTTGCACTCTTTGAATTTTAACAGTTGCACAGATACCCAGCAGAAGTACTTTGAGCAGGAAGCAATGGCTTGCACTAAAGCTTTACTGGCAGATGATGACCTGAATGAATCAGCCAGTTTGGCAATGACAGAGGACAAAAAAATTCCATCTGTTCATGATCTACAGGCACAGGGATCTTTTGCCCAGAACAGAAGGAAGCGTCCATTTGATGCCAGAAACATAGCAGGTACAGCCTACAAAATGTTTCATGTTATGAGTCACCTTGTATGAATGAATTTTTTTTTAAACTCATTGTATATAATACTTTGTTCTGTTTAGATTCAGGTCAGCCTCCTTTGAAAAGACGACTTCTCTCAGAGTTTGACCAAACGTTAGCTGCAAAGACCTCAGGCCTCACACCACTGAAAACCTGTCCAAACGGTTAGATCTTTTATTTATAAATAATTAAAAAAAAAATACTTTTGCATTTTAATTTATTGTGAGGTGCTGTGTTTAACCTGTGTATCTTTTACATTTAATCCCTGTTGTAGGAACTCTAAGAGACAGGCGTGTCTTCAGTTATAATGTCCACCTCAAGCCGAATGTCACTGGTCCAGATTGGTAGGTTGTTTTACTGTTTTAATAGTTAACTCTTTACCATTTAATATCACAAGATATCTTTAATTCTTACAAGTTCTTTTAAATATGCAGGCATCCTGTGGACCAAAAGTCAAATAACCTCGAGCGACCATGTTCAACTGTATCTGTCCAAAACAGACACAACTCAGACCATAAAGGAGGGGTGTTTGTGTCCCCTTTTCAAAAGGGTATGAAGACTGGGACATCAAACTGTCAAGATGTCTCTAAAGTGTCCACTGGTTTTATACCACCTTTCAAGAAGGAAAACAAAGAAACAACTGAGCATAGAAATCAAATAGACCAAAATATGACTTCTACATCACATAGTGATAGTGTTGCACAATACTGTGATAGGAAGAGTCTACTTGAGGGTTCTAAACCTAAACCAACCAATTCAGTGGAAAGCATACCTTTGAAAATCATGGACGTTGAAGAGAAAGGTAGCTGTTTACTCTTTTCTAATTTTGTATTTTAAATATACATTGTCTCATAGTATTGGGATTGTGCCAATTTGTACAGTCATGTATAGAAAAGATATAGAGATGAAAATGAATGATTCTGTGAATACGACAATGAATCCTAATTCTTTTTCTTGGGATGTTAATAGACCCAGAGGCATGCCGAGAGACCTTGAACCTAGCCAGGGATATGCAAGACATGAGACTCAGAAAGAAGAAAAAACAGTCTATTCGTCCCCTACCTGGCAGCCTTTACCTTGCTAAGACTTCGGATGTCCCCAGGATAGGTCTGAGAGATGCTGTGGGACGCAAATGTCCTGGTCAATACACACAGGAGGAGGTACATTTTGATAACTTTTTTAATACCTAATTATTCCACTGTTTTAAGTCACTGCAAGACTATACTTTGGAGGAGGTACATTTCAGTTACTATACTTTTTTTCTATCTTTTTCCATCTCAGCTGTATCAGCATGGTGTACATCACAATGTCTTACAAATGACAAGTGAGAATGCTGAATCATTCAGATTTGACTGTAATGACTTCTTCAAACATGAGCTCCTCATGGAGTCTGGTGGTCTCCAGCTGGCAGATGGAGGCTGGTTGGTTCCAGACAATAAGGGTACTGTGGGCAAAGATGAATTTTATAGGTAAACATATGGTGTATATTTTAACACTATTAATATAAATAGCATGTAGATCTACAAATACATCTACATGCTAAAATCTTGCAAAACAACATGGAATTAGTTTCATGGAGTTAGTTTAGGTAATGTACTTTTTTTTTTTGGCAGAGCATTGTGTGACACCCCTGGTGTTGATCCCAAATTGATCAGTGACGCCTGGGTATTCAACCATTACCGATGGATTGTATGGAAACGGGCCTCCATGGAAAGAACTTTTCCAGATTTGACGGGTAGCCTGTGTTTGACTCCAGAGCAAGTACTTCTGCAGCTAAAATTCAGGTATTGAAACTTACTAAAGCTCATACTTTTTCACCCAAAATTTTTCAAACACAACTCTTAACCATTTGGTATTTGCACTTGATCAGATATGATGTAGAGGTGGACCACAGTCAGAGATCTGCACTCAGGAGGATCATGGAGAGGGACGACACTCCAGCTAAGACATTAGTGCTCTGTGTATGTGGTGTTGCTCAAACTTGTCAAAATCCCGAAAAGCCAGTGAAAGATGACAAAACTCCTAATGCAAAGATGGAGTCCTGTGTGGTCTGGCTCACAGATGGCTGGTACTCCATCAAAGGCTTGTTAGACCCTCCGCTCTCTGCCATGCTAAACAAGGGCCGTCTCCGAATCGGTGATAAGATTGTGAGCAGTGGAGCCGAGTTGGTTGGTTCCCAAGAAGCCTGTCCTCCACTGGAAGCTCCTAAATCTCTGATGCTAAAGGTGAAGTTAGAGTTCAACTAAGATGATCCATGGCTGCTAAATCCTGCAAGACTTGATTTTATTTGTCATTTTTGAATTTCAGATTTCAGCCAACAGCACAAGACGAGCTCGGTGGGACACTAAGTTGGGGTACCACCGTGACCCTCGGCCTATTAGCCTCCCACTATCATCACTGTTCACTGCTGGAGGTGTTGTTAGCTGTGTGAACATTGTGGTGTTGAGAAGTTACCCCACTCAGGTCTGCTCTACTTCAACTGCTATGAATGAGACACTTTGATGTGTAAAAGCTGAGTGTATAATTTTGCTTTTGTACCAAACAAATGACTGGGTTTGTCATCAAACAGTGGATGGAGAAGAAGCCCAATGGTGTTTTTATATTTCGCAACGATCGTGCAGAAGATCGAGAGGCCAGAAAACACAGCAACTCCAAGCACAAATCCATGGATCTTCTTATTTCCAAAATACAGACCCAATTCGAAAAAGAAATGGAAGGTAGGGTTTTTACTTGTTTTTTTATTTCATTTACATCAAATTTTTTAGAGGTTTGTATGCAAGCATATAAGGATCACAAGGATTGATGAGTATTTTTCCTCCACGTATAAGGTAAAAAGAAAAGTCGAGGCCAAAGGAGGACATTTAGTCGACATGAGATTGAAGCTCTGCAGGATGGGGAAGAGTTGTATGAGGCAGTGGAGAGGGATCCTGCTGTTGAGGTACATTTTTGTCAATATTTTAATGCATTTTTTGCTTATTTTCACCAATTGTTAGTAAACACAAAGAAAGTAGTAGTCAATATATCAGCACTGTGTCAATATAACCTTTTAATAAAAATAAAAAAAAATGTTTTAACTTGATGTACTTTTCACATAGGCCCATCTAAGTGCGAGACAGATGGATGCAGTGCATAAGTACAGATGCTGTTTGGAGGAAGAGAGGCAGGCAGAGCTTCAGGAGCGTGTGCAGAAGGTTGTAATGGAAGCCCAGGCGGCCAAGGGTGGGTGTCCTAATCGAGATGTCACTCCTGTTTGGAAGCTCAGCATTACTGACGCCAATGAGCTGCAGAGCAACTGTGGTGAGCCAAGTGGATATCATCTTTACTATTTGTTTAGGTGTTGAATGAGCCAATTTAACCTGTTTTGGCTGGGTACTATTTCATTTCCTAGTTTACACCCTGAATATCTGGCGCCCATCGCAAGACTTGTATGGCTTGCTAAGAGAGGGCCACAGATATAGGGCTTATCACCTGGCCACATCAGAGGGGAAGAAACGCTCAGGCATTGCTCACATTCAGCTCACTGCCACCAAGAAAACATTCTTCCAGGAAGTTGAGGTAAACTAAATGTTTAGCAACTTTGCTCCCACCACAGACTGATTACTTCCCTGTTTTCATTAAAAGCATATGAAATTTTCTTACATATAATGTGATTGAGCCAGGTGTCTCCAGAATGGTTGCATCAGCATTTCCGTGCTCGAGAATGCGTACGCTTCAGAGAACTTCAAAACCCTCAATTCAGCTCACCTTGTGGGGAGGTGGACATTGTGGGATGTATTGTCTCCATAGAGGGTAAACAAGGTACATTTCATTAATTCCCCAACGAGTCTACCACTTAGTTTCCTCAATCCTTTATATCTTCAAACGCATTGTGACTGTTTGCATGTCTTCTCAGGCCATCCCCCATTACTGCATCTTGTGGATGAGAACTTTGACCTGGTCTCTGTGAGAACCTACAGTAGTCTGGAGCAGGTAGCTGTAGAGGAGCTGGTAAAGCTGCGAGCACTGGTCGCTCTTAGTAATCTTCAGATGAGACCGCTCTCCGGGCCTGTGCCAAGCCTTTATGGAGGAGAACAAGCAGTATTCTCCGTAAACCCCAAAGAATCCCATCTGCAAGAAGCTATGACCTGTCTGAAGACTTTTGTCCAGGTTAATGAATCAGCTTTTAAACTTTTGTTTTTAAGTACTAGCAAAGAGTGATTCCTCATGTCTTTTGTTGTTGCTTATTAGACTTATGTTCATTGTTTACACAGACTTGTGAGCGTTTTTTCAGCATTGCGGAGGAGAAGGTCTCAGATGTGGTTCCTTCAGGTGTCTTGGGTTCTTTTCAGTCTCCAAGAACTCCTGGTGTGCAGTCTAATCCAAAAATGAATGGCAGAGTTAGTATGAGTTTTCTTTTTATGTGGTGAAAGATTGGTTTTATTATTGGTGCTTGTTACAGCATGCGTCACTGTAATTATTAACTCCAAATGTTTGTTCTATACACATGAAAGCACCTACACCTTCAAAAAAAAAAAAAAAAATGTAGCTGTAACTCTTATTGTGTCAGTTACTAATTGTATACAGCTGTTCACATAACACTACAATTTTAATCAATTTGATCACTTTTATTGTTAAAAAGTAATTTTTATAATAATAATAGTGATTGTTGATTGTTAACATTTATTCAATTACATGCAAATATACACAACCAGTCAGTAAGATTTTTTAAAAGAAATTAGTACTTTTATTCATCATGAATTAAACTTACTAATCAGTTAATGTTACTAAAGATTTATATTTCAAATAAATGCTTTTTTTTTTTTTGTCAAAAGATTCTGAAAAAAATTATTAACTTTTCAAATAAGACCTTAATGGTATTAATTGACTTTATTGATCTGTTCATTTTTATTTCATATTTATGTATGTTTACTAGAAACAATACCAATGTATTGTTCCTTGTGTTGAAATTCCCAGGTTACCCCACAGCAGAAAAGCAGTGTTTTCTCGCCTTTCACTCCACTGAATAGGAGAGCTCCTGCATCTGCATGTAACAGCGAGGGAAAAGATCCCAAAAGTTTGAAAAGAAGACGCGGTTTTGATTACCTGTCACGTATCCCGTCCCCTCCACCCCTCACTCCTCTGAAAACTACAGCTTCTCCTTGCATTAACAGGACCTTCAATCCCCCACGGAGATCTGTGACTCCCAAACCTCCACAGAACGAGTCACCTCGAGCCTCATGTCCCCCACCGAGAGAGGAGAAGTGGGTGCATGATGAAGAGCTGGCGATGATAGACACCCAGGCGTTACTGGAAGGCTGATGGGAAAAGTGAGACTCTCCTGGTGAAACACTAAATGTGAGTTGAAACACAAGAATGAATTCCAGCATTCGAGGCATTACGAACTATGGGTAATGAAAGCACTATTTCTACTGTTGGCAGGAAATGCAAATGGCACTGCCGTCTTTGCTTTCTAGTTGCCTGGTTTACTGTGGTTCTCTGATGGTAAATAACATGAAAGAGATGCATCTTTTTACAACTACTGTAATCATTTTTAAACTTCTTTCTTGTTATACGTGATTGTACTACTATAAGTACGGAAGTAAGCAATGTTCAGGGAAAAATGTGTGAAGTATATGTAAAAAGTATATGTAAAAAATGTTTATATATTTAAATTTTTATTAAAAGATGGAAAGTAATTTTGTGCAGGGGTGATATCACAATCTGTTTTTGAAATGTTTCTATTAATGAACAGCAGGTGGCGCCTTAACACTTGCATTTGACTTGCAGCGAACAGTTCAATTCTGTAGGAAGATTGTGAAATCCTATCTGCCATTTTCATATTAAATCTGAAGAAATGAGAATGGAACAAGTAATATGAATATATTGCTTAATAACCACCAAATATTGGCAGCAAAGAAAGCAATGGGCATTACAAACACACTTCTGACATCTCTCTGGCAAACTCACTGTCAAGCTTATTTAACAGACAGCAAAGGCAGACAAAGGGATTTCTTCTCTTCCAAACAGAACATTGTCATATTTAATAATCTGTGATCAGAATATTACAATTCCAGGCATTTACCCTAGAGAAAATATAGAATGTGGCTGCTTGCTCTTCAGATCAGTTTTAAGGATTTTTGAAATTTAGAAGCCACCCCATAATCTATTCGCTCGTCAAGGAATGCTTCAGAAAACCACAGATATGCCAGATTTGCAGTTAGCTGCCATCAGTGGCTTTCCTCCACAGTGTTCAGTTTTTCATCTATCATCTATCATTGAGAATGTGCTGACTCAGCACTCATCCAGCTCTATTTTAAGATCTCTGGCCCACAATGATAAAGATAGCTGACACTCCTGTTGTGTAGCACAGAGACATTAAAGATGATATCTGTTAGTGGTTGACGGAGAATAGCATTATCGTGGCCAGAAATGTTTCCATGAGCCCAGCTCTGAAAATACTTGTGGTACAATGAATTCTAAAGTCTAGAGAATTTTTTCGCCGCCTTTTTTACGTACTAAACAGTCCTGATATACACTACCATTCAAATGTTTGCGGTTGAAAAGATTATTATTATTATTTTTTTATGTTTTTGAAAGAAGTGTCTGATAAAGCTGCATTTATTTGATCAAAAATATAGTATCAGTAATATTATAAAATATTATTACAATTGAAAAGTATAATTATTTTTCTATTTGAAAAGATTTTAATTTAAAAAAAAAAATTTATGTGATTTATTCCTGATATGGCAAAGCTAAATTTTCAGCAGCCATTACTCTAGTCTTCACAGTTGTGCTGCTTAATGTTTTTGTTAAACTCATTTTTGAAACAGATTTTTTTTTTTTGTAAAAATGTCTTTACTGTCATTTTTGATAAAATTAATACATCCTTGCTAAAGAAAAGTGCAAAAAAATAAAACAAAACAGTTGGATTTTGGAGTCTGGGAGTAGTTAAAATAGTGTGTGTTTTGTTTTTTTATTTATTTTTTGCTGCATGAGACCACAGGGTTAAAATCTGTTTAGCATTTGTCATGTTTTCCCACATTTAGGTTTGTCTTTCCATGTGAGAGTCATTATTTTTGTGAATTGCCTCTAGAGGCCTGATGGGCTGCTTTCAGGCAGCTGCTCAGAATTTCGTTTTCTCTAGTGCAGCCTTTTGAATTATTGCATATATGTCTATATTTCCTGTCACTTCAGAATATTTTTCTGTTGTAATTTTTATGTGTTTTCTACCAATAAGGTGATGAGTATTATTACTTTATAGGTTTTTATCACGCTAAATCTTAACATTCTTCAGAAAACGTATCTTTCTGAGTAATGCATCAGCCAGCCATTTGTTCCACCCAGAATCAAATCTGCAGTCTTTGTGTTTGTAGTCTTGATCTTAACCCATTATGCTATCAGGGCCCCAAAATCTTTGACTGTCAGTACATTTGTACTTTCCGACATAAAGAGTACATAAAGCAGGGCTTCATTACCACTCTTACAACATAAAACCTAAGGCTGTCTTCATCTGCTCTGAACTGCCCTAATCCAGCCTCTTAGGCTGATTCTGGCTGCCCTCTCCCTTGACTCTGCTGAATGAGACCTGATGGAGAGGTGGAAAGAGATGAATGAAAGAACCTAAAGGGGGACGGTGACGGGGAGTGGACATTTGATAGTCCCATATCCTCTTTGCAACCCCACCAGACTGAATGAATTAAGGGTCCCGTTTAGCTGTAGCATTGGAGAGCCAGATACAAGAGCTGTGATTTAGACTAGACTGTATCTAATAACAACTCATTAAAGAACTGTAGTCTGGGCAGAATTTTAGCAGCAGCTATAAAACACCAAAACACCAAGAAATTCACACCACCCCCCCTCAATAAACCAACAACAGGGATATTAAAATTACATTTTTAGTGGTATAATGTCAAATAGCTTGTGAACTAGTAGTGGGGAATAAATTTATATCCATTCCACACTTGATGAACTCAGAAAATTGTTGGATTTTATTTATTTATTTATTTGTTTGTTGTTTGCAACCGTTACAGAATTGCGACTGAATCTTAAAGTGTTATAAAACATACTCAGAACCAGTTCCTTTTTACATTAAAGGGGTCATATGATGCTTTTTTAAAGATCATTATTTTGTGTATTTGGTGTAACAGAATATGTTGACATGCTTTAATGTTCAAAAAACACATTATTTTTCAAATACTGTACATTATTGTAGGTCCTCTATGCCCCACCTCTCTCAAACGCTTCGTTTTCTACAAAGTCCCTCCTTCCGACAAGCGCAGTCTGCTCTGATTGGCCAGCTGACCCAGTGCATTGTGATTGGCCAAACACCACAAGCACTCGTCGGAAATGTAACGCCCCTTACCATAATCGCGAGCTTCATCTTTCAAAATAAATGTAAAGACAGAGCCCGAAAGGGGAACAGAGTCGCGTGACAGACACAGTGATGAAGCTGGTATGTGTTTGTGATGTGACCCCCGCTCTCTCTCGCTCTCTCTCGCGCGTCCGGTTCTGTGGCTGCGGTTCTGTGGCTGTGGTTCTGAAACTGCTGGTGCTGCGGGTCTGCAGCTGGATACTATTGGCGCGCTCTCTCTCGCTCTCTCTCGCGCTCTCTCTCTCTCTATCTCGCGCTCTCTCTCGCTCTCTCTCTCGCGGTCGCTCTCTCGCGCTCTCTCTCTTTCTCTTTCGCTCGCGCGCGCGCACGCGCTCACACACACACACACACACACGATGCGCAAAACTCCGCATTCAATACAAACAGTCAGTAGCAAATACTTAAACTAGTAACAAAACAGTAGCTGATTCAGAAGCGCCAGATTGTCATAGCAAAGTCAGAATTACCTCCTCTCCTAGGTTCACGAAACGGTCGTCCATAAAATGCATTGCTGTTCTGTTGTAAGTAATCTTAAAGATTCCTAAATGCATCTACTTTCGGAAGGCCAAATAAAGTGCTTTTGCTTTCGCCTAGAAACACACAGCGTCTCCCTGACATGGCTGCTTCAACACTAACTGCGGTTACTGAAACCACGCCTTCTTTCTTTGCGTGCACATTTGGGCGGCATTATGCAAATATTTCCACATAGTGAGGTAGATATGTGGGGGCGTGTTAGAACGAGCCGTTTTAGGGGGGTGTGGCAGAGTCTTAACTTTGATAAAGAATATCTCTGGTTTTGAGACTTTAGTCTTTGCAACTTCAGGGATCTTATCTATGCACAAACAGCTTGTAATACTCCAAAGAGAAAGGAAAACGTGAAATCGCATCATATGACCACTTTAATAGTTCTATCACATGCAGCCATACTAAAAATGTAGTTTCTTTCTATTTATTAAGCGGCATGGCAGCACTACTAATGAATTTACAGTGCAATTGACTCCTTTGAGTAGGTTATTTTTAGTGAATCAGAAACATGCATTGCAACCGGTGTAGTCCGGTTCTTAAATGTTTGACTCTTATAAGCCATTCTTTTTAGTGATTAAAAAAACACACGATTAATTGATTTCATCATAAACTCTTAAAAATAAAGGCTCCAAAAGGGAATGGAAGAACCATTTTTGGTTTCTCAAAGAAAGAACCTTTCAGTGAGTTTCTTGCACCATTTATTCTGCAGCATCCCACACAGCTACTGAATCTGAATCAAATGACTCCTTTGAGCAGGTTCTTTTAGTGAATCAAAAACACACAATCTAACTGTTTGATCATATGTGACCCTGGACCACAAAACTAATCAGAAGTAGCACAGTTATATTTGTAGCAATAGCCAACAATACATTGTATGGGTCAAAATTATTGATTTTTCTTTTATGCCTAAAATCATTAGGATATTAAAGATATTTTGTAAATTTCAAATACGTAAATATAAATGTAAATATATCAAAACTTAATTTTTGATTAGTAATATGCATTGCTACGAACTTCATTTGGACAACTTTAAAGGCGATTTTCTCAATGTTTTGATTTTTTTTTTTTTTTTTGCACCCCCAGATTCCAGATTTTCAAATGATTGTATCTCATCCAAATATTGTCCTATCCTAACAAACCATACATCAATGGAAAGCTTATTTATTTTTAAAAAAATCGACTCTTACGGCTGGTTTTGTGGTCCAGGGTCACATATGACAATATGTAATTAAAAATACTCATCTGTTTTGTCAGTAGTATTTCAAGAAATATTACTTGTTTTTATTAAGTACATTTTTTGTTCATGCGGTATTGTTGTTAAATATATAGCACACTTTTGTGTGATATATATAAAAATTATTTTAAATGTTGGCTATATATTATTATAGAAGTATTATCATTTGGCTTTGGAATTGCATTTCCTTTTTTTTTTTTTAAAGAACTAAGAATTCTTAATGATTTTCTTAATCAATCCCATCCAGTGAGGCTGTTTTCTTTCTATTTATTCAGATTCCTTGCTTTAAGCCTTGTGATTGGCATTTGCTCAAGCACTTCAAGATCTTCCTGTTCCGTACCTTTGACTCTTTGAACTTTTGCTCTCAAATCATCCTTTCACTCCTCCTCTTTTAATTTAATTTCCATCTCTTCCTCCATAACCCTCCGCTGCACCTCTCCCGCCCCTCTTCCAGCAGATTTGCAGTGGAAATGAGCTTCACAGGCTGTTGACCTTGTAGACCCACCACCTGAGGTCTGGACCAGCGGAGCTCGCAGAGTGACCCTCGA